AGCCATAATTTTTGGAGTGATTTTCTCATATCTATTTTCTAAGCTCTCTCTTTAATGAGTAGTGGTGGTTACTTAATCCATTACCAAAAATATGTCTAAATTCTCAACATGAAGTCATAATTAGGCCAATAATTAGCCTCACTAAACTTCATCAACCCAAATTAGATACACATAAAAAAAAAAAAAAGGAATCTTTTAATTTAATCCAATAAAGATGAATTGAAGTCCAGTCTGTCACAGTCCCCACCACAACATTCCATCATCACAGCCATAAATGAAATAAAAAAATAAATGATAACAATAATAATAATCAAAATATAAAAAATATAAAATAAAAATAAGAGAATAATAAAAATATAAAAAACATAAAATAAAAATAAGAGAATTAAAGAGAAATAAACACATAGCAGAGGCTCTTTCTACTCTCACTCCAATCACCCCCTTTTGCCATATCTATATCTCTGAAGAAGATAACTCCCAAAGCTCTGTTCCTCACCTGATCTCGCAATATCTGAGTTATCTCAACTGTAAAGCTTCAATCTTTATTCTTTTTTCTTTATTAAGCATTGAATTGTTGATGTTCATATAGAAGCCCTAGTTCTTGAGACTTCGAAGTTTCAATTCTTCCACTTTCACCTGTTAGCCGACTGTTTTTGCTGATTTTCGCAACCCTTTTTCTCGATTTGGATCCCCTCAATTTCAATTTTTTTGGTACCCCTTTTCGATTGAAAAACCCTAGAACTCACTGACGTTAATCGGCCGACCCCAAAATGACGACTCGCGGGAGCAGATCGGAGAAGGTGAAGCGAATATTCCAGCAATTCGACTTGAATCGGGACGGCGGCCTGAACCGGGATGAGATGGCGGCCCTGGTGGTGGCCGTGAACCCCCGGGTCAAGTTCAGCGACGAGCAGATCAGTGCCATCCTCGACGAGGTCTTCCGAACCTACGGCGAGTTCATCGACGGCGAGAAGGGCCTCACCTTTGACGGCCTCCTCCGCACCTACGATGACGGTGCTGGTGACGTGGACCGAGATTTCGATGCCCTCGGCCTCGACCTCAAGCCTACGGAGGACAAAAACGGAATTTCGCAAGCTTCGGAGGATGCAGCTGCTTCCTCCTCCTCTGTGGTCGACGATCGTCTCATGGAGCCCCACAAAAAGCAACGTACGGCCGCCTGGGCTGCCAGCCCGAACCATGGGATTGTATTCGACGACACCTGGAAGCTTGTGGATGACCTAGAGATTCTGATCAAGAGGTTGAAAACGAAGCAGATGAAGGATGGGAAGATAAAGAATGATAATTCAGATGTTTTTTCGGATCCCGGATGGTCTAGGGAGCTCGGCCCGTCTAGTGAGATCATGGAGAAGAGGGTGATTTGGGACGAGTCCAGGCCCGACTATGCGGCCTTTGTGAAGGAGCTGGGAGTTTTGAGGTCGCGGGCCGACAGGTCCAGGTCAAGGGCCGAGGCCTTTGACGGGCAGATGGCGATCGGCCGAGTCTTGTACGAGAACCATCTTTTCAAAGAGGCGTTGGTGAGTTTCAAGAGGGCCTGCGAGCTGACCCCGTTTGATGTGAAGCCTCATTTTAGGACAGGGAATTGTCTGTACGTGCTCGGAAAGCATACCGAGGCGAAAGGCGAGTTTTTTCTCGCGCTTGAGGCAGCCGAGGCCGGCGGGAACCAGTGGGCCTATCTGTTGCCTCAGATTCATGTAAATTTAGGCATAGCTCTTGAAGGAGAAGGTATGGTTCTCAGTGCTTGCGAGCATTATCGGGAGGCTGCTATCTTGTGTCCCACTCATTATAGGGCTTTGAAGCTTTTGGGCAGTGCTCTTTTCGGGGTGGGTGAGTATAAGGCGGCTATTAAGGCCTTGGAGGAGGCTATTTACATGAAAAATGATTATGCAGATGCGCATTGTGATCTTGCTTCAGCTTTGCATGCCGTTGGTGATGATGAGAATGCGGTTAAGGAGTTTCAGAAGGCAATTGATCTGAAACCGGGCCATGTGGATGCTCTTTATAATTTGGGCGGGCTTTATATGGATATGGGTAGGTATCAGCGGGCTTCGGAGATGTACACAAGGGTTTTGAGCGTGTGGCCGAGCCATTGGAGGGCACAACTTAATAAAGCTGTCTCTTTGTTAGGAGCTGGGGAAACCGATGAAGCCAGAAAGGCCTTAAAGGAAGCTCTTAAAATGACGAACAGAGTTGAATTGCACGATGCGATATTGCACTTGAAGCAACTGCAGAAGAAGAAATTGAGAGGTAACAACGGTAATAATGAGGCAGCCTTCATCACTATCGAGTCCTCAAAATTCAAGACGGTGGGTGAAAAAACCACTTTGAGGCCCGAATTAGTCATTGCTCTTGATATCAGGGCCTTTCAGAGGATCACTAGATTGAATAGATGTGAGGTTGAGCTGATAAAGAAGGAAATGAGTGAAGGAGACGTGCCTATCTCATACTCGGGAAGTGGGGTGCCTGAAAAATCAATACGGAAGGCTTCATTAGAAGGAATTCTTGCCAAGTTGCTGAAATTCTTGAAACCCGAAACCTTTGTGGGGGCCGTTAAAGCCATAAACCAGAAGATTTTATCCGTGCTGGATGAATCTGAGTCGGGCCGAGTCGATTTGGGCATGTTTTTTGCTATTCTTGCTCCGCTATGCGGTGGTCCGGCTGAAAAGAGAAAGCAAATTGCGTACGAGTCACTTCTATGGAGACCTGTGAATGAAGGCAGTCCACACATAAAGAAATCTGATGCTTTGAGATACATCAAGCTTTTGAGGGCCATTTACATCCCTTCACATGGGATTAGCGAGATGTTGGAAATTCACGGAGAAATCGATAATTCGTTGGTCTCGATGGCAGAGTTTGTTACGATGTTTGATGACCAAGAATGGGGTTTTAGTATTTTGTCTATTTTGCTGAAACTCGAAACTGGGGACAGGACTCGACACGGCCGACACATGTGTGCTACCTGCCGGTATCCAATCATCGGGTCCCGATTTAAGGAAATGAAATCTCACTTTAGTTTGTGCAGTCAATGTTATTGTGAAGGTAAAGTGCCTTCTTCTAGCAAGTTGGAAGAGTATAGGTTTAAGGAGTATGCAAATGAGGCTGAGGCTGTGAAGGATAAGTGCTTGTGGTTTGGTTCTAAAGGCTCATCCCCTGGTGGTGGCTCTTAGTCTTAGGGTTTGGATGATTTTTAGGAATTTAAGTGTAGTGGTTGAGTGTGATTTATTTTGTTAACTTGTGGAGTGTTTTTTAGGGTTTTTCTTTGTCTGCATTGTATAATAAAGATCTTGACTGGAATTTTTTTGTTTGTTTGTATTGAACATTTCATTCTCAAAGGGTTTGCTCCATTATTGTTAGAGTTTGATTTGTCTCACACTTGAGAGGTCTTGAGTCTACATGTAAAAATTAATGTACAATTTGTCTGATAATTCACTAAAATTGTTTTTGTTTTGTATTTGTTCAACAATTATTTTGTGAGTTGAATGTATTGCATTAACAAAATTTAATTATAATTATAATAGTAATAATAATTAATTTATAGATAAACATCAATATACTCAAACCATCAAACTACAAAAATAATAATTAATTTACAGATAAACATCAATAATAATAAATGATAGATAAGACAAAAAAATCAATAATAATAACAATAATAATAATTAATTTATATATAAACATCAAATTAACTCTAAAAAAACTACTTTTAGAAACATTTGCGCGCCCTAATTCTAGCCTTAATGCCCAAATTTTGGTTAGCAATAATATGAGCAACAGTGTCACTTCCAATAACACATTCATTCTCCTGCAACCCCGTCTGATTTCCACAAATTTACCATCCTGAGTCATACTAAGTAAGTTGAGAGCATTGGAAGAAAGATTCTGTATAATCGCGCGTGTAAAACATCTCGACGCCTTTAGACAGCACCAAGTCACACCGCCATTGGTGAACACGAAAAGTGGAACCATTGAAACCGCAACTCTCCACAGATAACTGGTTCCAAAATAATGTGCAAACGACCTCGACTGACTCCTGCGACCATAGATCCACACTCGACCCGTTCTGTGCACAAGTCATCTTGGCTGCTGGTCTCTGATTCTATAGTCTCAGGGGGAGTGGAAAGACGGTCACAAATAAGAGATCCTTTTCTTTTTCATATCGGCTCATCTGCTGTTTTTCTGATGATCCAGTCGATCGACGCTTCAGATTTATCCTTCGCAACCCTGTCTTTGGTGGCGATCCCACTGCGTTGGCGATCCATGTGCATCCAATGTCGCTCCATGACTAGATGACCCTTACTTCTTTCTATTCCTCAATGAAACTTGTAATTTTAACTCGAGAGTGCGCAAAACGATGTAAGAACGTGGATATACAACGTAAATAGTGGAAGCAATAAACCGAAGATGTAAAAACTCTTCAGGGAAGCGTCCTATTTCCCCTCGGAGCTCTTTCATTGATAAACCGTTCACACTTGTATAGTTTGAACTTACACGACTCGAACTCCCTTCTAGTCTAGCCACAACTACACACGATCCTATCAATTACTTCTCCGGCCACGTCCCGTAGACTTCTACCTCTCGAATCCCTCGAGCTAACAATTGTACTTAATCCCTAAGTACCGATCACAAAAGTGTTTGAATGAAAAACAAAAGAACAAAACCAAAGTCTTTAGTTCTTCGATGGCGTAAGAACATCGAAAAACTGAGTAACGAAAATAAAACTAAAAAGGCTTGAAGCTCGAATATTGAATGGAAGATAATTATTTCAGCAGTATATCTTCTATCTTAAAGCAGGGTTTATATACAACTCCTTAGGGTAGAGTCTTCTCCAAGTTCTTCCTTTCCTTTTAGGAGTCAATTTCCTTCATAATTGATTGCTTTCTGATTTGGACGAAATCCTTCATGTAAGGTTAGTTTACTTGATGTGGAATTCGTGTATGTGATTTGGAGATCTTCAGAATTGAGCTTCCAATGGAAATCTTGCCTTCCAGAATCGGGTAAGAACATGACTTTCCAAAAATAGTCGATCTTCCAAATCTTCAAAGATCTTGTGGTGAATCTTTCCAAATCCTCCTTAGATCTTCTCATGAACGTCCAGAACTCTTCTTGTATGGATAGCTCATCCTTTCATAGTCCTTGTCACATATTCCTTGTCCTACAAGAAAAAGATAACTAATTATGGCATGTGTCATATATGGTAAGTAAATATATAAGATATATATTATGTAATCCTTCTCCTAAAGGATTAAGATTCCATAATACATACTACAATGAATATATATCATATATTATTAATACTAAACATTAGGAATTTAATTAAATCACAAATAAATAAATAGAAAAACTTTCCTTTAATTTATTTTGCTTGCTTAACAAGAAATCTTCTAGAAAACACTTAGGTTTGTCGGACATGATGTCAAACCAATGTTCTTACACTCCAACTTCTAAATCATCCTCTTGGATCTCTGTCTCAGAGATAAGGCAGTTCCCGCAATGCCCATCTTCTTGTAAAACACTGCAGAGTGGTGGAATATAAAAAGCAAGCAAAATACCAACAAAAGAAGGACAAATCTTCTTGATAAATTATTTGGCTCAACCAGCGTATTGTCAAACGCTGGTGCAAGTTATCCTTGACCAACTCCTCGCTCTCGCTCAAAGATCGAATACTTCTAACGGGGATCGTCAATTCACGGATCTTCTCAAACTTTTCCTTGAAGTCTGAACCCATAGAAAATGAAACTTCATCCGCTGCAAAAAAAAAGGGATTACTTTACGCAACAAAAATAAGATCCCTTATTTTACAAAAGATCGACGAAGAACTTACGCATTTTCTCCACAAAGAAAGTCTGCAAGTACGCTAAATAAACGGATGGCCGATGAGTCTTCTATTCTCCTGCTGCCCAAAACCACTCTTGATTTCACTTGTGGCGAGACTCTAGTATGTCTTTCACCAGATCGTCGTACTTGTCTTCCTGCGGAGCCAAGTGAAAATATCCCATTCCCGCATTTGTCGTCTTCGACATATATATGGAATCCAACTTTGGGGCCGATCAATCTTTTTTTTAAAAAAAAAAACATGACGATCCAATATCACATACGACACACACTGTTTAGATGCACATGGACGATGCAAATTCTCCATTCCTTCAGATACTCTGAGAATACTTGGTGAATGAAAAATCCTAGCCCCGATAATAAGGACTCTCGGTGGACCGCAATACCCTCACGTGGCAGACAGTGAGCCTGTTCAATTTCGTATGGCATAAACATCCTGATCATCCCATGGATCTCGTACTTTTCCTTCAACTAATATTTGATATATGTTTGTAAGAAGGAAAACGTGTATAATCAATTTCGAAGAGAAAAAGAAAAAGAAAAGCTCAAAGATTTCAAAATTAAAAAAAAAAGTACGAGCAACTCCAGGACTTGAGGGTCCACTATTTATTAAATACATTTTCCCCCTCCAATCATGCACGGAACCCAAGGGACCAAGTCCAAATCGGAAAATACACAACTTAACTCCGACGGGGGCACCCCCTTTCTTCAGTTAATGTTTCAATTGTCTCGACTCCTACTGATATCATGATCGACAAAAATGGAAGTTCAAAAGAAATAGCTTCACAGGCGTAATGACGATCCCCTCCACACCTAGGAACCTGAGATGCTCCATGTTGCACATAAATTGATACGCAATTTGGTCCATCTCATCAATACCACAACGGATGAGCACAGGGACAACAAAGTTCGAGCACCAGAAGCCCAAGAGGCAACATCAACAAGATTTGCCGATCACCTGATCGACAGACAACCCATTATGTCGATCTCATCCTAAGTCTTCCCCGTGAGATTTGGCGATCTCCTTTACATGTAGAAACATAACTATTAATGTTAATAAAGCCACCAAACGAAATTGTCCCATTCTCAGAAGTCGAAGTTTGCATGGATACACGCAACCCCACTCTATGTCCTTAGTTGGCACAATGCATTTATTGTACTTTTACCTTTTCGTGCATAAATACCGACAAGCTCTTGCCTTAAAACACACAACCTTGTAAAAGACACTCCCAATGAAAATACCCAAATTTCTCCTTGTCGATCTCCTCCGCATATCAAAACAATCGGTGTCTCATTATTTTTTTGTACTAGTCCTTCTGTTTTCCTCATTCCATAATTTTGCAATTAAACCCCAATCCCCTTAATTGTTGAGTAATCCCCGTTCTAATAGCCTATTGAATACTAATTTATAACTAGCACTGTCAAACGGGACGGCCCGGTCCGGTCCGGCCCGCGTTTCAAACGGGGCGGGCCAAAATGGCCCGCATTTCTACGGGCTAGGAAATCCATGGCCCGTAGCCTGCCCGCATTAGCCCGCGGGCCCGCGGGTTTTTTTTTTTACTTAATTTTTTTTATTGTTATTATTATTTTTTTTGCAATTTATAATGAAATTTTAGTTTTTAAATTCAAACTATAAAAGGAAAAAAAAAATAGTGGGAATTGAATAAGAATTACTTGTACGACATTTTGATCTCAATGGTGACCATATATTGTGATTGAATTGTGGTAAAATGCAAAATAAAATTAAAAACTTTCGTCCTTTAATAATTGGCTATTTTTAATAATTGTTGTTGCTATTATGCTATATTAAGGAAAGTGATTGGATCGAGACATTTAAAAGTGACGACCAATGTTTTGTCAGCTCCATCAAATCTCCACTAAAGTGAATAAGTTTCACCCGGGCTCCTTCAACTCGAACCGGCCTCCGTACCTGCAGAACCCAATCAGTCCTCATATCAAGAGAGAGAGTGTAGTCATCAAATGAGTAGAGAATGAGAATATGAGGTACCTTGGCCCCCTTTTATAGGGGGAGTATACCTTTTGGGCCCAAGTTGGGCTTGACCCCTATCGTTGGGCTTAGATCTCTTAGTGGGCTTATCCTCCAATATATATCCGCTTTATCCATTAAACCGAGTCCAGTATAATATCTTATATCATCTAGTCCCCCCCACTCTGGTCGAGTAAGCATGACTCGATCTAAGAGTGAAAATTCCTCTTCGGATTGTTTCCGTCGACCTGCCACTTAGGTTACCATTTGAATAAATCTTCGGCCACCAAATAGTTATCAATCCTCCAAGTGAGCATCGAGACCCCAAATGAATACCGAATGACCATCAATATCAAATATCGAGTGACCCATCACTGGGGTCGAACACTGAGAATCGAGAGACCGTTTAGGTCAAAAGTTGAGAATCGAGAATCGAGAGACCTGCCTCTGAGGTCGAACGCTGAGAATTAAGAATCGAGAGACATGCCTCTGAGGTCGAACGTCGAGAATCAAGAATCGAGAGACCTGCCTCTGAGGTCGAACGCCGAGAATCAATAATCGAGAGACCTGCCTCTGAGGTCGAACGCCGAGAATCAATAATCGAGAGACCTGCCTCTGAGGTCGAAAAACAAGAACTGAATGACCACTCCCTGAAGTCTTGAATTTGAAAATTTGAATTTACGTCTGTTGTGTTTCGATCGCCATGTTCGAGCTCTCTTATACCACCTCGTCCTATCGCCCCTCAGTTCAAAAGTTAAAATTCAAGCCTGTTGCATACTCCTGCTCGTGACAGAATGAATCCCATCTCCCTGCCTTAAAGTTGAAAAATCAATTCGACAAAACCAAGATAAAACGCAATCCACCTGCTCATGATGGAATGAATCCCATCTCCCTTTTTTTAAAGTCGAAAAATCAATTCGACAAAACTAAGATAAAACGCAATCCACCTGCTCATGATGGAATGAATCTCATCTCCTTTCCTTTAAAGTCGAAAAATCAATTCGACAAAACCAAGATAAAACGCCATCAACCTGCTCGTGCAGTAATGAATACCCTTGACCTACCACCGAGGTCTGCTCGATCTATCTGTAATGAATCCCTGAGTTTGCTCGAAATGAGCCTCCTTTATCTGTCACACTTGTCGAACTATCCATAACGAGTTTTATTGACCTTCCAATGCTCAACATATCCGGTAACGCATTTGATCGACCTGCCACTGAGATCAAAATCACAAATATAGCATAACCAAACCATATAAAACCCTCTATCTGCTCAAACCATCCACAATAAACTCCTGCCACTGCTCGAGCCATCATGAATACTATCGACATGTCACTGAGGTCAGAGAAATCAAATCCAACAAAACCTGAATTAAATAAAGATCGTCGACCTGCCACCGAGGTCTGCTCAAGCTATATCCGTAATGAATCCCATCTCCCTGCCTTTGAAGTCGAAAAATGAATTCGACAAAATCAAAACCATGTAAAGATCCTCGACCTGCTCCTGAGGTCTCCAATAAACTATATCCGTAATGAATCCCATCTCCCTGCCTTTGAAGTCGAAAAATGAATTCGACAAAATCAAAACCATGTAAAGATCCTCGACCTGCTTCTGAGGTCTCCAATAAGCTCCATATCTTCAACGAACCAACATTAGAATCGACCACCCAGCCCGGAGGCCTTAGTCATGTTGGATTTATTGTCTTCGAACACATGCCCACCCTCGAAGGAGTGGTCGATACATGTGACCACCCAGCCCGGAGGCCTTAGTCATGGTGGATTTTTTCCTTTCGGACTTCTCG